GTTAGGAAGAAAACAAGAGCATATATCATTCCAAATGATGAATGTTTGATTTGATAGAAACTAGAGCAGCGGTTTTTAATACGAAAATTGATATTATGAAATGAAATCCTAATTAGAATAAATTGAGTGATGTCGTGAGCCGGAACTTAATTTGTAGAGGTTGATTTTTAGAGAAACTCTCCCTTGGAGTTTTTTGAAAAACAATCTTGTGGTTATACTTTGGTGGTATGCTCTTGCTTTGTCATGTAAACTCTATCCCCCCCCCCCCCCCCCCCATGATCATTTTCCAAATGTGGTAAATATTTCAAACTTTGCCAACAGTGGTTCAGAAAAGGGGGATTTATATTCGTCACTAACTGGAGATAACGACCCAGTAGCCTACAATACACCTGTTATTAAATGCGCCAACATCACAACTATTTTCTTATTTCAATCGAGATACCCCTTTATGATGATCAGATGTAATAGTTGGGAAAGGGGGTGTTTCTGTCTTCACTTCTTCCCCCTCTTCTATAGACGTGTGCACCCCCCCCCCCCCCCCCATTCCCCGTTCAGAGAATCAAAGATTATGGTAAAATGAACTGCAGTTCGGTCAGCATGGATGAATTGACAGGTTTTTACAATGTCCGCGGGTTATGCCAGTCGGATTCTTCGGGAATTTCCCGTTCTTGTTATGAGTGTACGACGGTAACCATGGGAACGAACAGATCCTTTCTTGATTCTCAGTTTGGATAAAGCCAAAAGGTGGCACAAAGCGAGAGTACATCGCTAGAAGGCTGGGGTAGCGGCTTGTGTACACAACTTTTCAATTGCTGTTTATTAGTATAGTAAATATCTATTTTTGAGAAGCTACACAATTCATGTTTTATTGAACAGTTTTATTTACAATCATAAATGGGTATTAGTCCTCCAATGCAGTTTAGTTCTTCCTCCTCATATCGCTGTAAGATGGTTCAAACGAAGTCCTTAGTTCTGTGATGTGATTATCGATTATTTGTGTACCTCGCCGATAAGGCTCTAAACATTAAAACCTTGCTGACAGTACATTTCGAAAGAACCCTCCATAGACGCTCCTGTAAGTTAAATAAATATGCAATTATTTGTTGAGCTGCCTTTGGGACCTACATGTAGGTTTTTTTCAATGCGGATCCTCAGAAGTTGTCTTCAATGCTGAAAATAATTTAAACCCGCTAGCAAACTACAAGAAGGAAATTCATATTACCTATTTCTAGCTTCATCGAACCTGACAAAATTAAAACGCTAATACCTTCATTATTAGATGGATCGAGCGGTCGGAGGAATTAAAAGCGAATTAGAAGTAGCTAATCGTGCCCCGGAAAATCGGTCGCAGGTCAACACGTTTGCTTCGAGGGCACGTAAGCGATCATTTTGTTTACATGTAATACACATCCTTCTTCGTTATTTGAAATTGGAGCCGAAATATTAGCCGATAACGCTTGCAGTTCATATGAAATAAAAGTGATTACATGTCAACCACTCGCGGAGATGTCAAGGATTAATTTGTTGATCTTGAGCAGACGAGCGATATTGAGTAGGGCGGACTCGAGCTATCGTATCGTGTGTCCAATTTGAGTTATCGTCTGTGAGAGAGCGCGCCAAATTGATCAGGGGTAAATTACGGATGTGTGATTCGGAGGGTTGGTTTCGAATTTTTGTCTTCAAATAAGGAAATATTGTGATTGAAATGACGAACTTAATACTTCAATCGATTATTCTCTTTGGTTGTATAGTAATTGACTCAACGGGATAAATTATTGATGGCTCAGACAAATTGAATTGTCCGCGGAGAGTGAGACATGCATTGTGAGCTGAACAGTTCCGCCATCAATTCGGTTACATGCTGTGTTTTTTTCAAAGGTCCGTTTTGGCCTAAGGTTCGTAATTCTGAAAATGAAATCGGACCCTGTATTGTTTTCGGCTTCACGAATCTTCTGGAACATCAACCTTCGCAAGTCTAGGCTTACTTTTTTCTTGTGCAATAAAGCTTAATACTTTAATCATGAAATGAGCTAAGAATCTATGCCATTTTATTGTTTTGAAGTTCTGTCCCAGTTATACTTTCGGGTCTTTTTATTGCTCCTTACTTTATGAAAAAACGAGTGTTTATTTGAGTTCAGATGATCATATCGATATCAACTTCACCAAAGCCAGCAGTGGCTCAGACTTGACTCTATCATCGACCAATATACGTACATGTAAATCATTTCCCTTTGTGAAGTGCTTCACGCTAATCCATCGCATCCAACCTTAGGCTGTCCGTTGCAAGTTGCAAACACGAAAGCCCTTTGGTAAAAAGGTGCACAATATAATTGCAATCGATATGGACAAATGTATGTCTCCTGCCTACTTATTAAACCTAAATAAGACTCCATGGTTCGATTCGGTAAGGGCGAAGCATCCATTACATAATTGCCTAAGTCCCTTTTGAACGATCGCGTTATTAAAAGCGCGTTCATACTGTTTGATCCGTGTTGCTTTTGGAGACAGTTGTAGGCCAAATCAATGTCCCAAGAAAAGGAAAGAAGAAATTGAATCTCATTATAGGAATTCACAAGACGTAATGTGCCCGGATTATCGTTTATTTTACATGGGCTTAGGGGGAAAAGTTTTGCTGGGGTTGACATTATAATAACTAGCCCGAATATCATCTTTCTAGTTCGGGCATCCCTAGCTTATAGTTACAAATAGACATGCTCTCACATGCTGGCCGATCTATTATGATTTGAAAGACAGTAATCTGTTTTTATCTAAATCGTGTAATACGATGATTGATTGGCCTACATTGATTAGCGAGAGAGAAAAGCTACCCAACAAACTGGTTTATGCTAACAATACTTGGCGGACATCTATCATGCCACGACTTTCGGTATCATAAAGATATACGAATCGTAAAGATATCCGGGGAAGTACATGCAACAAACCTTGATGCTCAAACAAGAAGTAATAGTTTGCTTGAGTACCGGAAATTGCAAAATCCTCATGAGAAGGAGGCATTACGCCCACCCCTCCACAACTTTTAAAGTTTGGCTTGTTTTAAGCTCTAAAAAAAAACGACATTTCTCGGCGGATAGGGCACTCATATTCAAAAGTATGTGGATCATGAAGTGTTGAGTTCTTGCAAAAATGATGGTGTCCATTTGAATGATGATGTTCGCACTTCGAGGAGTTCTCGGCGACGGCCTGAATTATGAGCAACGCCCGCAACGACATGATGACTGAAAGGCAAGCCCGTGTCTGAGCTGAGGCGAAGTGCCTTTAACCGATTAGCGGGATGATGACCTTTAATGGCATCGCCTGCCATCGATCGGTGCCTCCATCTAGCCAGGTGTTGTCGACATCGGCGAGGAAATCGATGTCGCTTGAGTGGTTCTTGGGGAAAGACAGACGATCAAGGAGGGAGGAAAGAACACAAGTCGCGCGCGACAGTGCTAGATGATGACGGGTCTTTTTTCTTCTTTTACGTTTGGTCTATCTGACGGAATGACTTTCTTTCTTTCTTTCAGAAAAAAAGATTTCTGATAGAAAGTGGGAAGGCGTTTTCATTATTCCACCAGGTGTTTTTTTTTTCTTTCTTTTATCTTATTTACGTTGTTTGATAATATAATGTGGTGATGGGGAGAGAAGGAGACAGAAGAACAGGCAGATAGAAAGAGAAAGGGAGCGAGAAAGGTGGAGAGAGAGAGGGTGGGGTTCAGCACGCTATAAATACAGAGGCATGTTTTACTCTCACGGAGCACGCTCACATTTTTTGCTGACAGAGATTACACTTTCCAGGTCCGATAAATGCAACCAAAATTCAGAAAACAATTGAACTCAATTATTAGGAGATTTCACCAAAACAAATTCTGACAAAATAATGACAGCGCACTGCTGATTGGCCCAAAATTTAGACTGCATGCGCACGCAGCCAACACGTTATCTTAGCCGCGCATGCGTAATTTGAATCAAGAAAGAGCAAATACGAATTATTCCGGGGAAGAAAAAAGAGATATAAGAAAATGCTAACGTATTCCCTACGCTCTCTACTACCTTCATTTCTCTTTATTTATCACTTTTTTGTTCCCATTTTCTTAATATAACTTCTTAAATACAAAATAGGGGGTGGTATGACCCTCATATTGGCCTTCCTATGTAGGCGACGCCACCCCCCCCCCCCCCCACACACACACACGAACACTTACGCACTCGTTGCCATACATTAGCCTTTTTAAACACACTCATTTCCATAATCGTTTTTTTAATGACTTTCAACGTCATAGAGTATTCCCAATAAAGACCTAAATATGAAACTTAGTTGTAATCACATGCTTTAACCTTTCTCCGATGGTGAATTACTTCAAAATCTACCATAATTATTGGCCATTTTGAAGATGGATCATAAATGGAGTCTTTAAATAGAAACTTAGAGCGAGTTGTTTGACGAAATGTAAGAACATGCGAGTTGGTGGGCAATTTGCTGGGCTTTTATGCAAGGATTCGCTGACAAGCGAAGATTAAATGACCTCTATCATGTCTATCAGCAAAGCGTCGAGGGCTCAAAGAGATTTGCTTTCGATGACTTCAAAGATATCTCTTCCACTATCCGACTTTCTTCGTCTGTACCTTCCTCCCACTCTCCTTCAATCTATATCTTTCCCCTTCTCTCCCCCACTTCTCTCTCCCTTCCACCCCTCCCCCCCCCCCCCCCCCACTCTCCTTCGATCCGATATGTCTCTCTTTCTCCCTTCTTCCCACTCTCCTTCGGTCCGATCTGTCTCTCTCCCCCACTTCTCTTTTTCTCTCTCCTTTTCCCTCTTTCTTTCTCTTTCTTTTTCTCTCCATGTGTAAGTAATTTTCATGTTTGTGCCACCTTTTTTATCAAGCAAATATGTTAGTGATATTTTACAATCCCCTACTCACTCTCTCGCTCTGTTCGAATTTCTAAAACTTCATCAAGGCAAGCTGATTACATAATAATTTTGAGTGACCACTGCAAAAGATTTTTGATCAGACTTGAATTTTAATTAACAATTAACCACATAAATGTTATGCAAAAAATACACCTGAACAACACTTTGATTGCAACCACACACACACACTGAACAGTATCAAACAGTTACGTTCAACATATATATACATGTATCCTCAGTCACACAGCCAAACCAACTCCACATCGACTCCAAACCGACCGATGTTCGGCCGTTCCTCAAATTAATGTAAATAATTGATTGTCGGTCTGGCGTTGGTCTCGGTGATGTGACTAGGGTTTTACCAATTTATTTTTCGTTCAAGACATTAAACGTTTAAGAAAATCCATCCATTAATGAAAACCTGGCAATGCAACAACTAATAATGAATATTCTTGTTCGTCCTTGTCGTAAAGGGCGCCGTTTCACACACACAGTCGGTGATTCCCGGTACAGTGAGTACATGGAACCATTTCGTTTGAAAATACTGTGGAGACATTTGCCACAGCAAGAATTACAGAGCTTACGTAAGAACTGTGATACCAAAGGGTGCACTTTAAAACAAAATTCAATTTTGTTCATGTCAAAAAGACAGTGTACACTTTGCTCAAAGTCTGTGACGCAATGTATATTTTTTGGTCACAGAAAGAATTGAAGGGTGTAAACACTGCTGCGGAACCATGCAACGGGTTTTTAATATTTTCATAATATTGACCATGAGATCCCATTGCATTTTCCACGCTGTAAACATTCGTTCATGGTTGGGGTGAAAAGATTCAAATTTCCCCTAAAATGCAGTGTTTACATATAATGCGTCTTTAATACAAAAGAATACATAGTTTGTAAACTGCATCGCATCTTCATCATATTTATGCCCCCTTGTTATACATGAGATGCATTATAATCTGCAGCATTACATTTCAATTCAATTGACCATTCACATCATATAAATCGAAGAATATTGATGAATGAAACTGAATAAGATCATGATTAAAAGTTGAATTGAGAATTGTTAAGACAGAACAAGGACGTTTTCCTTTAATTTCCCCCTTTTTTTTTTAGATAATAGACCAAAGATAGTGTTTAATATCCTCTATAGATAATAGATAAAATGTAAGGTTAATACATTACAATGTACACATGCAAGTTTTTTCCATTTACAGTCTAAGTTTATTTCTGAATAAAGGTCTTGCAATCTGACTTGCATGTCATGAATAATCTCAAAGAGGATGAGAATCGACTCTTCTCAACATGTGTGAGCGGAATTTGCGAGGTCATAATGGCAATCGTTAACCGCAAACGTATGACCCTTTCACATCACTGCACAGCAGTCTTTAACGCAAACATGGACAAGGAATAACTGGTATCATTATAATTTCGAGATCGTATTTTGTTTCTTTTCATATGTACAATCTCTTTCCTTTCTTCTACAAGAGAAAACTATAATTACTCTGACAAAAACTATAAAACGACCCTGGAATTTGTCACTTATCAGCCGACGTAGAAGAGCATCAAATATAAAAATCATTAGGAAACGAAAAATAAAGTGTTTGCTTTGAATAAAAGTTGTCTTTGTATGAAATCAGCCTGACTGTGCATAGCAATTGTTAGTTTTGTAAGTGGTGTAAAAACAGTACCGGAAAATAAATGTCTAATTCATTGCTTACATTCACAAAAATATGTAATTTACAATGTAAAAATTACAATGTAAGAAATATAACATTTGAGTTCAGCGATACAAGTTTCTAGTGCTGCATTTTGAGAATTTTAAGTCATTCAAGTATTCACAAATGTGTATTTTCCCCGGAGCTCATTTAAATGCAACATTGAGGTTCGGGGTTACAAATATCAAATTTCTTTGATTTGTGTAGAAAGAAAAATGGATTTACATCAATCTTTATTTCCGAATATTTCCCCAAGCCGCTGTGCTTGAAATTAAAGAGTTCAGCATTACAAATTTTCTATTGAAGCACCATGTTTAATCATTATGAAGTAAAATCAGCCTTTTTTTTAGACCTTCATAAATAAACTGGTCAACAGTTATATGAGGTTGTATATAGCATTGGCACTTTTTCAAGAGTCTCAAACATCGTGACACAGCGACAGTTTAGTTAGCGTTAATTGACGGTGTTTCTACGAACAAATTTGTTTCTCATTCTTAACATTTTCTAGAATAAAATTGTACAAAGTTCTTGGCAAGAAATACAACCTCAGTTTGTAGGTTGGACATACACACAAGAATTGTTTTCCTCATATCCCTTATCATGGCAGTAGCGTTTAAAGAGGTTATTGTGAAATTCATTTCAAATTGATTCGATTCAATTCGATTTTGCAAGTTTGTTACTGTCTTTTCGAAGCTGCGATAACAAATATATGCCCACAAAATCAAATTTAGTTGCCCGTTTCGGTTTTAACAACAGATGGCGCTGTATGCGTTTTTGTGCTGTTGTTGGTTTAGGCCAAGGAGACTTGAAGCGACATAAATCTGTATGTGGCAATTACAATCTCTGTACATCTTCCTCTATAAAATTTCGCAAGATTTATTGTGCATAAAATAAAGTCTAGAGCCCCACAATTTGATGGTTTTAAGGACCTTGTAAGGACCAACGGATTATTTCTTCCTCAAAGCCATCACTTTTACAGCAATCCTTAGTTTCCATGCCAGCTCTTTGGTCGAAATGCCATGATAAGGGTTAAGTCTTAATTGCTATCCTATCAAACACATTACGCGAGTTGATTTCTTCACTGTACCTTACAGTTAAATCAGCCTATTGACAGGCATGCATTATCAACAAAACAATACTACTGAAAAACTGCTTCTCCGTTGTTACGACATCAAAAGAGTTTCATTTTCAAGCACCATAACTTTGCAGATACACTGTATCTACAAAAATAGGCCTGGTAAACGATTTCTGGCAGTTTTGTTATTTGGAACGCTGGAGTTAGCAATCCCATGATAATACTGTATCAGAACGATTTCTAATGCCCTGCTTTGGAATTCAATCACATTCTCAAAGGAAAAATCTTCAAAAAGCATAATAATGAAAAACCCGCCACCATTTTTAAAAACTTTTCTTTTGCTTTTTTTTTTGCTTTTTAATTATTTTTTTTGTGTGTGTTTCGTAAAAATTGTTTGTTTGTTTTTTTGTGTTTGTTCTTTGTGTCGTCAGTTATACCCCTTTATATCTGAAGGTGTACGGCTAGGTGATGATCGGATGCAATAAGAAGTACATGAACGTATTTCTATTTTTGTTCGGCACTGTTATGCCTACCAGCAAGAATCCTTTCAGGGAGCTTGGGGCCTTCAGAGTTCACACTCGTTTGAGCTAAATTCCGACCAATTTTAACATCATGAGCCAAAAAAATGAAGATTAAATGAATTAGAGTGATATTGGAAAGGCCGCGATTCCCGAAAGCTCAGGAAAAGAACGTACGCTGCCAATAAATGCCGAGTGACGTTCTGCAAATAGACGTACGATGTGATCGCAACTTTCCTAGCATTGGCCAATCAGAATGCAGTGATACAGCTGTTAATAATTAAATATAGATCCTGATTGGCTAACGTAAGGAAAGGGGCATTATAAGTGAAATGTGTTATGTTAATTTGTTTCTACAAACGTTATTGGTGGTTACATGCTTCTGATATTACTATTCTGAAGCTGGTCGGGAAATTTATTTGGACTTTTCCTGATACCAGGTTTGACTACTTTTACGTTATACTACGCAAGATTTTCAATAGATGTAAGGTATAAGCCTGCAGGGGACTTTCTCCATGTAGAGGTCCCATGATTTGCCGTACTTGGCATGACAGCGGTCCTCGTCCCGCCGGCAGCGGTGGATGAGCAGGATGAGCATGAAGACCAGGTAGTAGTACGGGAAGATGTGTCCTACTCCACAGGAGAGGCACCAGGCCGCTGCCTGCATCAGGTCACCAGTGTAGTTCATATGCCTGGTGATACCCCACCAGCCCGAGAGCAATAACTTGCTCTTCCTCTCCTCCCCGTCACCGCTCATGTAGGTGGCGTCGATGTACTTGGGCATGGCGCCCCAAATGGGGGCTTGTCCGTTTGTGCGCCGGAAGTAGTCCTTCTGCCGGTTGACCGACCGGAAGATGTAGTAGCCGACGGTTCCGAGGAGGAAGATGGCGGTGAAGATGGGCCAGGAGAGATCGACGGGGTTGAACACCAGGTAGAAGCACTGTGGGTAAAAGAAAAGTTTGTAATAATAATAATAATAATGATAATACTCAGTTTTTATATAGCGCTTATTAGAATCACTAAGCACTTCCAAACTTGGAGATTATTACCCCGGCTTTAGCTGTGCTGCCATTGCGGCGCTCTAGCATTTCAGAGAATTAATCCCTGCCAGGTACCCATTTACATCACCAGGGTTGAGTGTGGCAAATGTAGATCAATGTCTTGCCAAAGGACATTAGTGCCACGGCGGGTTTCGAACCGATGTTTATTAGAATCCCTTTATGAATAACCAGTCGACCGCCATTCTTTAAAAATCTCAATCATCAACACAAGAATATTCAAAAACTCCTGCATCACGAATGTTGTATGCACGTACAACCGTCTTTTTAACCATTTTATTTTTAGGAATATAGGCCATTAGACATTCATTTATGACGTATTCCGAGGATTTAGAGCTTTGTGTAGTTCACACTTTTGAGGCTCTACACAGCTCACTCCAGCTACTTGAATTAATTACAAACAAAATCCGGGACCCGGTCTTGTAAACACTTGCAATTGCTTCCAATCAATTGCAACCTGATATGTGTATGTACTAAAGTGTAAAGAGTGTGTAAATTCGCGATTGACTGGAGGATTTGGTGCGATCAGATCACACCTGTTTTCAAGTTTATAAGGGCCTGGACTAAACAAAAAAATATATAGATGAAGAGGCATTGCCAATAATCAAATTCGTTCACACTTGTACAAGCATTGCTTTTTAGTGGACCCCTCTGTTTCCAATATGTATTTCTACATTTGTTGTTAATGTTTATAATTTATTGGTAATGTTTTGTTGGAAACATAAATCAATTGATATTGAAATTGAAGAAAAAAAAATTGAAATTGAAAATTGAAATTGAAAAATACACAATTGCTTGATGCCCACCTGAAGCGTATACATGAATGGCAGGTAGACCATATCACCCCAGGCAAGGTACCATCCAAAGTGATCGTGGTGCATGTCGATGGTGTGAAGGTACCAGGCCTCGTTCCAGAAGTAATCCACCACATAGATCAACTCCAGGAAGTTGACTAGGATCATGGAGTTGGTGATGTAGCCGTAGAGCTCGTACTGCTTCATGGCCATGGAGAAGTTGATGATGGTCCAGGCTGCGATACCCGGTCGACCGTTGAAGAAAAGCTGGAAAGAAAGAGTAGATGAATCAAGTTTATAGTTGTGACTACAGAGACTACGTATGTTGCCCATTTAATTCAGAAGAATAGTAAACTATGTTGGAGCTTGTCCTGACCAGGTGATGATGGTCCAGGTTATGGTACCCGGTCGTCCGTTGAAGAACAGTTGGACGAGAAAGAATATTGGTCGGTAAGTCTGGTAAAACTTACTGATATTGTACACGTTGTCTACATAATTCTCAAGAAAAGTAACTTTCACCATGCAACATGCACTACTTTCGAAAGTCAGTCCGAGGGGTCTATAATAAATGATGATGATGAGAGAGTTTATAATGGCTAACCAGCCGATACCCGATTGCTCGTTGCAGAAAACACCCCCAAATTCAAATAGGAATAGTCATTCATCACATGAAAAATGGTCTCGTGATGACGCTTCTGGTGTGTACAATTCATAGGGCTTCTTACCTTGAAATCGAACATCTTTCCGATGCGGGGGTTGAACTCGATTCCCATCATGTAATCATAGAAGATGTTACCGGTGAAGACACGATCAGGGGCGTGGGTCGGGAAGAAGTAAGCCTGAAAGTATACACGGATTGGATAAGTTTATCAAACGACACGCCGTAGGGTGCACGATAAATTTTCCTTCAATTATTATTCATCGCTTCCGCTGGTTCGTGATCGAAAACAAGTACTAGGTTGTGAGAATATGCGATGCGATGCGATGCGATCCCAGTCAGCAAGTGGATGAGGGAAACTTTTAATAGAGCTATCTAAGCACAATTTATTGTTGAAATAGTTCACATTGATTATTTTCTTCACTTGCAGAGACTAGACTGCGCTACACTTTTACCTATGATTTCAGTCTTTAAGTTCATGAATTAGCAAGAATTAACCAAATCATTATCTTTTTCATATTTGGAAGCGAGTGGATCAAAATCCCGAATGAAATATGAGAGTTTTGATAGATATTTTATTCATATTCATTGATTTGGCGCGATATAAGTTACATTATTATTATTATTATTATTATTATTATTATACGAAATATCTTAGTGCTACCTCTTGACTCACTAATAACTAATCTTGCAACTAATGTCGCTGCTCCCACGAATAGTAACTCACCTTCACGATGGCGAATGTAGCTACAAAGATGCCGATGGCGTTGGCGCACCACAGGAGCGAGCCGCGGTGGTCGAACACAATGGATGGCGAGAACCATTCAAAATAGAGGGCGTTTGCCACGAAAATTGCGTTGGAGATGAACCATGCCTGCAAACCGTTGATGAGGTACGGATTCCGGATACCCGACGGTGTTACGGCTCCGAGTTGCATACCGCCGACGTAACCGGGAATAATGTATTGGAAGAGATCCGGCAAGTAGAAGAGCACAACCTGTACAGAGAAGGTGTCATTTTCGATGTGGTTAAGCATGGACCTATTACGAAATGGACATTCATCGTGATTCTTTCTTTGATCCAATGATAGTCGCCGCCTTCTGATTATGAGTATCTTAATGAGAACATTCAGCTGTTTTAACAATAACGACTGCGTAAGAATTTTAGGTCATTGACAAAGGAGCAGTTTCCCTCTCTTGGGTTTTGTTTGGATGGTGAGCTCTGTAAGAGTGTGTCTTAAATGAAAGCATCCCCAATGGAGAGCAGCAAAGTTGAAAAGCAGACGATTTGGGTGATATGAAATGTATTATTACTGATTCGCACACTTTCGCACACACCCATGACCTTATAAAACAGTTAGAAGGCCATGATCTTTATAAGCCCTGTGCTTTGTAACTCTGGAATATTATGAGAAAATAGGGGGAAACGGGATTTTAAATCACAACCCAAAAATCCAAATATAACCTCTATCTGGAAATATCAACATGTTTTTCAAAATAAAATACATGTACAGTACACGTAACAACAATTTACGATTATAAGCCAGAACTGCACATCGATTTTCCATGATTTAGGCGAGTTATTATCTTCTGCGCATGTAGATTAACATGTGTAAAATCACTATCTTGATTCTGTCCCGGCTTTTTGGCGGCGACTATGATGAGATCAAAGTGACGAAACATGTAGGGAATGTTATTGAGACGACATTGACGGAGACAATCACAATTAATTCATTAAGAAAACGATGAATGTCCATTCGTAATAGGTCCATGGGTTAAGAAAGCTTTACGGTAGCTTATATGGATGTAGGGTTGTAGTATAAGTAGACATGTTTTGCTAGTTGATAGTGAGTGGACAGGCTCACTAATGTAGTAATTATTACGACACCCACACCCACCCCTCCCCCCTAGTTTGCAGACACAAACCATGGTTAGTCGATGTGCCTAACAGTGTCGTCACTCTGAGACTAGGCTGGCTGCATAAGCTCTGTACTTGAAGTGTCAAATCAAAGTCTGTGAATGTATACTCCACCCCTCCCTTCCCCCCTCCCCCCCCCCCCCCCTTTGGTTATCGCCTTGTACAGCTACGTATAGCCGTAGGGTCGTTTATATGCATTTACAGTCATTTTTTCTTTCTTATTTGCGCGCTTTAAATCCTGTAAATGCACTACCAGTCACGCATCAAGAAACGCCAATTTTGTTCATGAGCTCCAACAACTGAAGCCAGTCCTTTAGACGAACTCTTGACGAAAACAAAAAAATAACACCTTCACATGTATGTGACCATTGTGGTTGCAATGAATCGAGACCAATTGGGGGTACTCATGAGGGTTGATATGAATGGAGCTTTTTTCTCCCCCACAGAGTCGTTCACCATGTTTTTAACAAAAGCCTCCCTGATCTCATTCAATTTCCTCCCTGTTCTCCCCCCCCCCCCCCCCGTTTCTCTCTCTCTCTCTCTCTCTCTCTCTCTCTGAGGTACACATAATGACGACTGAGTGAAATAAGAAAACAAGCAACTTGCGTGGAAACGAGGCTACGTGTTTTTGAAAAGTTTGGTTGCATCAGGGATATGTGAGTTAAACTCACATATCCCTGGTTGCATACAGTGTTATTCAGAAAAGGAGCGAACTTTTGATCAGATTAGATTTATCTTTTTTGCATTGACGTTTGTAATCAGTTCATTGAACTAATTACAAACGTCAATGCAAATAAGATAAATCCAATCTGAAATTTGTTTGCCATGATGAATATTTTGAGTATTATTTTGATGATTATTATTAATATATTCGTTATTATTATTATCAGTTTTATCATTAATATCATCATTATCATTATTTGTTAGTAGTAGTAGACGTAGTATTACTAGTATTATCATGATTATTATCATCCTCATCATCATCATCATTAACATTCCAGGAATAGTTGTTTTATAGGCTCTCGGGGACGTTACATCTATATTTTATTATTGTTAATGTCTCTCTCAAATGCCACCTGCAAGACCCGCGCTAGTCAATGACGCATCCCTACGTCAGGACTGCGTTACCTCCTGAGCAACCCTGACCCACTTGCTGCTCCCTTATCTCTTTGCATGTGTTTGTTCATTCTTATTATGTACTTGTCTCTTGCCATGCTGCTTTTTATATGAATGGTCGAATAAATAATAATAATAATAATTGGCTTGAAGTTTTATGGCTACGTCAACCATACATAGGGGGTTTTGGGACATGCATGCCCCGCAGCCCCTGAAACATCCTGAAGAAATATTTCATCCGGGTTTCCCTCCTAAAACCGGAGACATACTTTTTCCAAGATGTTTCATATTTTCTAAGCCTAAAAATGGACGAGTCCAGGTTTGACCGACTTTATCTTACGCTGTATACGCCTTGAATGCGCCAGCAACAATGAGTCTAATATTTGCTCACGATCAACAAGATGGACGTCTTTAAGGAGAATGCCGATATCATTCCTTGAAGGGTCGCTGATCATAACAAGCTATAGTCAAGTGGCTGATACGAAGAGTAAACATCGATTGACAATCCGTTATATTCACATCCAGCATGATCTGATTTCACGTGTATATTTGTCATCTCGTCTAGCCGTTAATGAAACTACATGCCCATGGGCCATGGTTGACAGCAGTTTCATGGCTGACAAGTTTTAAATGTTGAATACTTTTTCTTTTTAATCGTTTTATCGTTAGTATCATTTTTGTTTCAATAAATCTTTATCAATAAACATCATTCAGCCATTATTGACGATGGATATTTGTATGGCTATTACGTCATACCATTTAATAATGGAATAAATGTCAGTATACACAGCGTACAGCGAATCAATTATTGTGATTTAAAAATCAAGGAATCGTGAAGAAAATGGCTCTTGATTTCTTTTCAACAATAATCTAATCAATATACATATGGAGAAAGTAGTTTCTTGCGTGCGAAAGAACAACCAGGAAATAGATAATGTTGGCATAGTCATAACGAGTGGTCGTGCTCCTTATTACAATGAACTCAATTTACACACATGACATTATGTCAGTTCAGTTTAGATGTTTATGTTTCTACGTGTGCAATTGAGAAGGAACATTCCAATCAATTATTTTAAAGTGGTTTCAGTAATGATGCTAGCCTCGACGTGCAGCCTCCAGGAATGTACGACAAATGATCCACGTTCAAGTCACGGCGAAAAAAAAATTACTTGAAATTTCAACCCTGCATCAAACACCAGCCCTAACCCTAAACGTGAACTTATCGTTTGACCCAAAACCCTATTGCAACCCTAACCATTATGTTGTTGATCTTCTTTTGTTTTTAAATAAAGTCCGTATGAAATGGCACATGGCATGTGACCAATCTTCTTCTGCCCATGGTCATTGGTGAGTGCAACCTCGGCCACACAATATTTGTACAGTTATTAAACTTGAATGAATTTTGAGGATTCACAGTTTGAGTTTCAACCTTCGTTTCATCGCAAACTTTGGCTTAAATCAGAACATTGATATTCAGGGGTGGTGCCGGCCCTGGCATGGAAGGGGATTACCCATAGCAGTTATGTTTCTAACATTAACCCTTTACGTAACTAATACTACTTTTAGTGACCTATCTATTAGGCTAGGATTTACATAGTATACATGAGCAGAAAGAGCGAAAATCACACACAAAATTGAGCCAATTTACAAAACAGAACATTGTACGGTTTGTGACGTTTATAAGAAATCATTAAAATAACGCGACGTGAAACATAAACCTGGAATGCTCCCCAGGGGGTGGAGAATGTGCATACATTGTTAGCGGGCAAGCCTGAATCCGATGACCGGGGTAATATATGTAAAGCGCTTAAAGACATTGTTGATGTATTAAGGGCTATATAAAAGTGGAATAATATCATTTTTATTTTGACCATAATAATCTGAACTGTAATGGGATAACTAATAATTGATATGATGATAGAATCTTACCTGAAAGGTCATCCAGATGGCTGTTATGGTAACGCCATCCCACGTGATGGACGGCATCTGATCCCAAAGCATGGTGAGGGTAAGGGCGCCCTTCTGCATCTCCAGGGGAGGGGTGATGAGAGAGCATTGGTAGTGGGTACAAGCGACGTGGACGTAGAATACTACCAAGGGGATGAGGGTGAGGAGGGCGAGTACCCCCACCGTGGTGAACACATCAACCTCCCTGTTGGTGGGTGAGTAAGTGAGTAGGGGTAGCGATGGTGGGGACAAGGGAGGGGTAGGGGAGGGGTGGTAGGAAGGGAATGAAGGTGGTACCAACTGTTATTATAAATCCAATAAAATGTTTTTTCGCCGCCGCCGCCGTCACCGAAAAAGCAGCGCCTATGTCTCGCTTTTGCTATGCAGGCGAGACAAAAACGACAAAGGTTTGCTCATTCGGGGTAAGTAATAGTTTGTTCGGTTTATTGTTTGTCTGACGTTGGTAACGTTAGTGTGACTGAGGTATTAGGCAATAGGTGATGTAGCCATCTTCGATATGTCCCTGAGATTCAATCAATCGCAACCTGATAAAAATTAGTACAGACCCACAATTCGATTCCATTCTGTATGTTTTAGTTATCCTTTTGTTCTTCGTGTTCTTGTATCCATCATCCTCTTTATCCTATGTTTTGTTCTCTTTCGAGGTTTTGTGTGCGCCCCTTCAAGTGCGGCCCGGGGCACGAGCCTATATCCATCAGTTTCTGGTTTTCTTTCTCACATTCTCATTCTTACTACATGTACAACATGAGCTCATGATATCAACGTTTAGATGCCATTAAATTCCCATTTTCATACTCTGTTTGAATAGACCAGTTCACGGTTAGCATATATCCCAAATGACCCCGAGTATCAACAGATCTTCAAAACATGAATAGGTCCCCATTTGTACATTTTGAAATAATCACTCCTGCAGTAATGGAAGTGCTACATAAATAGCCTGTGCTTCCCCTTTTTAAAGAATACTACCACCTGTGTATCATAAAGTGCTCTGCTTGTGCATAAATGAATAATGATTACATAACTTTCATGAGCACGTATTTTGTCTTTGTGTATTTCACAATTTGGTCTGCAATAAACTTTATCTGCTCTTGCTCAGACTACAACTATGAACTGGCTTGTTATTACATGGCCACATTAGCATACATCTAACTGATTCCCTAATTAACGAAGTAATTACCATGCACGCCCCCATTGTCCAGCCTTCCGGTCAACAGCCGACGTTCCGTTGGTAGTGCGCTTCATAGGCTCTTCCGACATGCGTTTTGAATGAGACCGGGTGTTGGGCCGCGAGTAAGAAGTCGGCTCCGTCATGGTGATACCTACAAGGGGAGAAGAACGAAAGAAACAACACTATTATTAACAGAAATAAAAAGAAATTAACCGAAATGTGAATTGAAAGCATATCTGACCGGGTAAAATGATGTAGCCCGCTGGTCTTTCCATTCACAGACTCGGGTGAGAAATAGCAAGAAGTGTTATCTTGCTATCTGGTCACAAAAGAAATCGTTGTTACTCCAGGGGGGTGTTCGATCATGAAGCCTTAAAATAGATTTTTTAAATCGAAATCAATTTTAGTCGATAAATCACCCCCATCTCAAACAGTATCTCATTGGATAAGGACAAATGCGTGTTATACAGTATAGTCTGCAAACACAGACATTAATTTGTCACACTTTTCCTAAAGCCTTGAGCATAGACTAGATCTATCAGTTTGTTAGGAGCGGCTTAAGTACAGAGCATGTTGTAGTCTTATAATGCAGACATCTATACGCATAACGACTTGCAAGGGTCTGTGTCTGCAAACTATTAGTATAGAGTATACGAAAGCGAAATCAATTGTATGTTGTTGCAAAAATCAAAATAAGTGGCAATTCAGATCATCTTTATTTCCACTTTGGAGACAATATATTGTATTAGCTAGGAGCGAGTGATTCCGAATGTGTATGGGACATGGTATTATCAAAGAGGTCTTTGGTATAAGCGAGTAGTCAACTTCGAATAAACCAACATTTCTTGTAAAATCTGCCCATACGGCTATCATAATCCTTCAATGCAATCGTTGGACATGAATTCAATATATCATTCGTATATGACTCCTTGTAGTATTCAGATTTGTTGTCTTCTTTTTTTTCGTCATGCAGGACTTTGCTGCAAGACTAATCAGGGATGCCAGTTAGAATTAATCAGAAGGCCTGAAAATCACCTAGAATGAGCTAGTTTGTACACAAAAAAGCCTAAACTATGGCATGAAAATAACTCGCCAGGGCCTGAATTCAGGCTATCATGTACCTGAAAACAGGCATCCATGTACTAATGAACATTAACAACACTTATAACTCCCATTGCTGAGGCAACTTAACTGGTTTTCAATGGCTTTCAAACCAACATTAATTTCACAATTCGCTGAGGGTAATAAAAGGTGAAGGTTGCTCACTTTGGAGTAGCGGTATAAGTGAAAAGCAAATATGATTGTATGCAAGCAATTCAAAGTCTGGTTCATTATTTATCTCTCTCTCTCTCTCTCTCTCTCTCTATTTCTCTCTCTATTTCTATTTCTCTCTCTCTCTCTCTCTCTTTTTTTTTTTTTCTCTTTCTCTGCCTCTCAACTTTCTGGCTCTCATGAATTTTCGCTACCTCTATCTATAATATTAACACAAAATCATGTCGAAACTTTGTTCACGTGGGCTGTAGATGTGAAATGCAAGGGGGGAGGGATACACGTAAGCCTACATCAATAAATATTGCATTGATTCTTGAAACGAAACATACAAAACGACTCAAGCAAGAAAATCATGTAGAAGAACGGTTTCCGTCTCCACATGGCATGCCATAATTGAATTTACGAAGTCATTAATCGAGGGATCATATCTAACATTAATTAATTCCATGGATCAGGGAGGACAATGTCCTTGATAAGATTCATTCAAAATCCTCTGACGACCTAATGTAAATAGGCTAAAAGGGGGCGTTCGGGTGTAACGAACTTTCAGCACATACAAGTGTAGGTCAGTAGCTCAATTTCAATGTAAAGAATTTGAAGGTTGACTTCTGATAAAGATACAAATAAATAAGGCAACGTTCCCTCGGTTCAAAAGACTTGCATCTCATACCCTACTGCTCATGGTTTTAATAAATATGACAAGAAGAAACTATAAAGTTTGATTCAAACTTTCATGTCACATGACTGTATCTCCGATGTTACACCTATCTCTGAGTCGGTGCAGTGCATGCGATTTTCGTTCAGCAATGGAGAGGTAAACTCTTTTTATTTTAACCATTCCCAAATCCCATGGTATAAACTTATTCTTACTGTAGGTGCTATATATTTAGTTTTTCAAATATTTTCTAGCCAGTTTCTTTCACAATATGTAATACATGAGATTATAATCCATTTAATAAGTTGTCCGTAAAGATAAAGTTGAGTTCTGGTCATGCGATTGCATTCAAGTGAAAGAAACGGTGTGGAATCGATCAGAAAAAGTTGATCATGTAGCACATAAGTATTGGTGTGTCCTGCAAGGTTCTGGAATCATCAAAAAGATAAGAAATTTGGCCCAGTCTTGGTAAAGTAACAAGCACTGTACACAGAGTGATGTATATAATACATGTAGAACTACATAAATATTATGTGGCGTAAAAGTCGGGCCTCATTTTTAAGTTGTTACTTCTCATATTCAGAATATAAAAGCATTTGAAGATCCATGCTTTAAGAGAACATTTTTTTCCTCTGATGTTCTTCCACACAATGATAACGCTCACAATTTATTTTTCACCTCTCCCCAGAACTCAAATTTCTCTTTAATAACTCTTGTATACCTGCTGTCACGTGCGTAGGAAAAAGAACCTGGGGCCTGGGGCCTGTAAACCTCAATTCAGGAGAAAGAACCTTTTATAAGCTTTATTTTTATGAAAGAGAAACTTGCAGTTTGTTGAAAGTAGATCGAGATGAAGAGATCACACGTTCTGATCGCTGCCTTGGAACCTCATTAGATTGACCTCAGTATGACCTTACAATGATCCAATGTCATTACCACACATCAACACGTTAACCCTGAGCTTGAACCTGTAGATTATGTTCTTCAGGCCTCTCTCTTTCTTTCTATACCTCTCTCTTCTGCCTGTCTGTCTCTCGATCCCTTACTTGCTCACTAGTCCCCCCCCCCCCCTCCCCCCCTCCCCCCCCCCCCTCTCTCTCTCTCTCTCTCTCTCTCTCTCTCTCTCTCTCGGTTTCAGCTCTCTTTTCCCCGTTCCGTAGCTTTAGCTGCTTCTGAGCTTATTGCAGTATATTCTATTCTATCCATTGCTCAATTCTAGATATAAATCAAATATATAATATTTCGACATCACTAATCCCTCCATTACCATCCTTTTAAAGAGATAACTTGGGACTCTTTCGAAGGGAAAATCGACGGTATTTAAGTTCAACACATTTTTCGGGGGCACCAGTGGGGACACCAGTGGAGGCGCACCGTCCACCCACCTTTTTCCCTACGCCAACCATGGATAAGTCTTGAACGGAGATATTGGTATTAAAGAATTTTTAATTTTGATCCCCACAAAGTCTGAGATAAAGTCAGACTGAGGAATAAACTTGATTTTCTTGCCCTACAAAAAAATGAGATATTACAAAATACGAAATGACAAAATACACTTGAGTCAGCACATTCTATCACTTCTTTTTCCGCATGCTAATTTTGACAACGAAATGTGAGCTTGTTGAGCTCAAATGCAAATAAAGCTCAAGAACCAGGGACGTTAATAAAGAAGACTACAGTCTACAGGTATCTGAATAAGGGCAACCATTCTATCCTTGTATACAATTCATGCACCGATGAAATAAAGCTCTGCTTATGAAAACTGGAGTTTAAAAATGTATACATAAATTTAATATACAATGGAATTAGAAAGCCTGTAGCGACCCCCCCCCCCCCCCTCCTACACAAAATGAAACAAGGTACATACGATCCGGGGCCATATCCAGTAGTAAACATAAATTTACATCACCTCCAAGTGTATATACATTATGGTGCACTGTTTTCTGTTTTGAAAAGGAAACTGAGTGCAAGAGAAATATGACTATCTCCTTATATCCACTTTCATAATAAAGTGATAACATCGTCCCTTCCTGTCTTTATGCATTTTAATGAATAAGATAGCTGTAAAGTACCCGGGCAAGCAGGAAGTATACACTGTCTTGTCAACGCAGTATAAATTTGCCGACCAGATAATACTTTTTGTGTGCGTCTAAAAAAATGTCTTGTATTTAGAGTATCGAAGTGTGACGTCATAGCCAAGTTGTCAAGGATGCTGGTTCCAAACAATTTTGTGCAAAACAATAAGCCAGTTCACGGTTGCAGTCTGAGCATGAGCAGATAAAGGTCATTGCAGAACAAATTTTGAAATACACGGAGACGAAATACTGTATACGTGCTCATGAAAGTTATGTAATCATTATTCATTTATGCACTCCATGATACACAGGTGGAAGTATTCTTTGAAAAAAGGGGAACAAAGGCTATTGATGTAGCACCTCCATCGCTATAGGAGTGATTATTTAAATATGTACAAAGTGGGACCTCTTCATGTTTTAAAGATCTGTGGATATTCGGGGTCATTGCAGTAATGTGCTAACCGTGAACTGGTCTATTGCTGGGTAGTCATCAGTGCCAAAAAATTGACCTGATACAGTATCCTACTGCTTGAATGATGTCGCGGTGAACCTCATGCGCAGGCTCTGTTGTTTGGAACCCGTATTAAACCGAGACGACGAGCAAATGTGAAATTAGCACTTCGGTACTCGATGGAAACGGTTAGAAGTTACATGCTGAGTGGCTGATAATATGCAGCCAATACAATCATGTGTATGTTTATTCTTAACCATCAAAATAATAACAAATTGGCTCAATCGTGCTGAAAATTACTAACAACATAAAAACAAACATGTATAAATTAACATGGGACTGCACAAACATATTGAACGTTTATAATCAGAAAAGAATGGATTCCCAAACACGATGATGAATTAATTAAGAGCATTTCACGAGCATTCCTTTGCATGTGACAAACTGACAGTGACAGTAATACTATTCTGCTAAACGGGAATGAAATAATCAGAACGCTTATGAAATTAATAGTAGATTTCAATCTTCCCTTTAACATGAACTTTTCCTTATTCCGTTGTCCTACAACAATCACACTATTTCGGAATACATTACAGTGGACGATATGTGTAAGGTTGGAGATAACGCTGTTTATCTTAGGATTTAAGAATCGGCTATTATGGGATATCCTTATCTTTCTTTGAGATTGAGGACCAATG